ACATGTGTGTATATATATATATATATATACATATATATATACATTTAAATATAGATAAGTAATTTTGAATGTAACTATTCCTAAACCATTCATATGATATTAGTTTTCTACAAAGCTAGAACTTTTAAGCTACCTAAGAATAAGTATAACAGTCAGACCAATATTATCTTATAAGGGGTCATACATTTTGGCACAGGTATTGCTCTGATGAATAGCTCCCTCAAAAAGTCAGCTTTAGAGAAACGTCTTTCTATAGAGTATTTGATTCTGAAATAATATTGGCATGTTTTCCTATTACTGTTTGCCTTACCTATATGTAATTTGTTTGTCTATACAATTTAGATAACAATAACGTGACAGTCATCAACAAAGCAGACGGAGAGGACAAAGATGAGGTAATCCGGAAATTGGTGGACTTGCTCCAGGAACAGGCTGTTGTGATCAACGAGAAGGTAAGAGTAATGGTAGGGATGACAACTATAACACAGATACGTTTTAAGGTAGGCATAAACCTAGACACTTGGATAATCTGAAAATTCACGTCCATGCCTGTGAAGACAGTTAGGTTCCATTTAAATAGATTTCAGCTTTAAAGGACAACTATCAGGAAAGTAACCATTTATTTCTATATGTGGCATATTATTTCAATTTTTGCAATGGAAATGAAGAGATGCCGTAGTGACCACAATGAAATGGAGCAAAAGCCTTTTAGGATTAAGGTGCACAACTGACTTCTGCTGGTAAAGAGCCTATTTTGAGCGTAAACCTATATTTTTACTTGTGGATAGAGTTGAAAAGGGTTAGAATGACTTCTAGTGCTGTCTCTGGTCAGGAGATCTTCACCTACTCGATGTCCTTGTGACATTAGAGCAAGAGATAAGGAGAAGGCTGTCATGTTTGCTCCTTTATTTTACCATTTTCTCATCATACCCTGTTTCCTTCATAATAGCTGCAATCAGGCTCGGATTCCCCACGAGGCCACCGAGGCCAGGCCGTGGGGCAGCAGGGCGCAGAGGGACGGCAGCAGAGTGCAATCCCCCGACGCCTGGAACATAAAGTGCCGGGCGGTAAGTTGCCTTCTACATTTAGTCCTGCTTTGGGAAGGCAGGACTAAATGTAGTGTGGGGAAGCCTCTTGTTCGTTTACAGGTGATCGAGGCGATGTCGCCGCGATCACGTGTAAAATATGTGCAGCCTGTCCGTCCTCCCTTCCCCTCCTGTATTGGAGGTGACAGGGTCAATAAAGAGAACCTGTCAACTCCAAAGGCTATCACACATAAGAAATAATAATAAAATAAAAAGGTGATTTAAAAAGTAAAAAATAATTAAAAAAATAAGAAAATAATTATAAATAAATAAACAATAAAAAAAATTATAAAAAATAAAAAAGTAAACGATAAGCTAAAAATGTAAAAAAGTAGAAAAAAATGCTCCCTCCCTGAGCGAGTGGGAAAGACTGGTTGATCAGGCATTGCCCATTTATAAACTCACATACGAGCAGAGGGGCAACCCGACACGTTTTGGCCGCATCTGGGACCCATGGCTGTCCTCCTCCTCTAACACAACTGTAGAAGTGGGGTGAAGTACTAAATGCACTCTCATCCTTTAGCCTTACGACCCCAATTCTAGACCTCTGAACCCCTGGAAGTATTTCCTGCCATATTGACTGCATGTGGCTGTGTTCGATTCCCCACATTGTATACTACCTGTGCTGGAGGGTAAATACCATGTATTGAATCTTGCAACAAAATGCTTGTGTAACCTTGTAATCTTGTGATCAGTGAAGAGTGTGTAAATATTGTAAAATTGCCTGGGTTATGTTGACCCGGTTGATGTCTGTCTGGAGGTTGTTTGTCAGTATTATTGTTGTTGCTCAGACACTTGGAAAAATCTCAATAAAAAGCATCTAGGGGGGTGCATTGCGGAACCTGGCCTTGGGGCGGCAGGGAGAGTAAATCCGGCCCTGGCTGCAATCTAAAAGGTAAACCAGGTTTTGGCCTTTGGGCTTATGCACATGGGTGGCTGAGACTGTACAGAGTGAATACCAGCATATTTTCATGCAAGAGGGAACCACAGGTGCCGCGTACAGCATTGCACAGAAGTCGAGCGCAGTATGTGGGTGTAAACTGGTACTTGCATACAGCTTCATATGCATACAGACTTAAATCTCTAGATGCAGAAAACCTGTATCCAGGCATTTAAGTCCATATGGCTACACGGTTTATGCAAGTACTGGTGTATGCCCATGCACAGCCATTGCAGCACCCTGCGTTTCCCTGACAGGACGCTGGGTATTTACGTTGTGCGGGCTCATCTATGTGCATAAGCCCTTATTTGTACTTATTGCTAATCTTGCATCTGGATCTTGCAGCCAAAATGTTTCCAACACAAATGATTGCTTCATTGTTTCCTCTTGGAAATTTAATTGGCCAGGGTCTGTCTACCGAAAAAACTCATATCAGTACATGTTACTGTAACATCTACGGCCACTGTTAAGTACACTATATTGCCAAAAGTATTGGGACGCCTGCCTTTACATGCACATGAACTTTAATGGCATCCCAGTCTTAGTCCGTAGGGTTCAATATTGAGTTGGCCCACCTTTTAACGCTATAACAGCTTCAACTCTTCTGGGAAAGCATCCACAAGGTTTAGGAGTGTGTCTATGGGAATGTTTGACCATTCTTCCAGAAGCGCATTTGTGAGGTCAGGTACGGATGTTGGACGAGAAGGCCGGGCTCTCAGTCTCCACTCTAATTCATCCCAAAGGTGTTCCATCGTGTTGAGGTCAGGGCTCTGTGCAGGCCAGTCAAGTTCCTCCACCCCAAACTCGCTCATCCATGTCTTTATGGACCTTGCTTTGTGCACTGGTGCACAGTCATGTTGGAACAGGAAGAGGCCATCCCCAAACTGTTCCCACAAAGTTGGGAGCATGAAATTGTCCAAAATGTCTTGGTATGCTGATGCCTTAAGAGTTCCCTTCACTGGAACGAAGGGGCCAAGCCCAACCCCTGAAAAACAACCCCACCCCATAATCCCCCCTCCACCAAACATTACATTTGGCACAATGCAGTCAGGCAACTACCGTTCTCCTGGCCACCGCTAAACCCAGATACGTCCATTGGATTGCCAGACAGAGAAGCGTGATTCGTCACCTCAGAGAACACGTCTCCACTTCTAGAGTCCAGTGGCGGCGTGCTTTAAACCACTGCAACGGACGCTTTGCATTGCACTTGGATTGGATGCAGCTGCTCGGCCATGGAAACCCATTCCATGAAGCTCTCTACGCACTGTTGTTGTGCCAATCTGAAGGCCACACGATGTTTGAAGGTGTGTAGCTATTGACTCTGCATACAGTTGGCGACTTCTGCACACTGTGCGCTTAAGCATGCGCTGACCCCGCTCTGTCATTTTACGTGACCTACCACTTCGTGGCTGAGATGCTGTTGTTCCCAGTTGCTTCCCCTTTGTTATAATACCACTAACAGTTGACTGTGGAATATTTAGTAGCAAGGAAATTTCACGGATAGACTTATTGCACAGGTGGCAACCTATCATGGTACCATACTTGAATTAATTGAGCTCCTGAGAGTGACCCATTCTTTTACAAATGTTTGTAGAAGCGTCTGCATGCCTAAGTGCTTGATTTTATACACCTTTGGCCATGGAGGTTATTTGGAGGGGTGTTGTAGAATGTGCTCTGATTTGTGTTATCGATTCCAACAGGTGTCCCAATACTTTTGGCAATATAGTATAAATATCAGCATGTAAAATATAAAAAAATATGTATACAATGCATAGTACTCGTTGTATTAACCAAAAGCCCCTATCCGGATGTAAAATTTTGTTTTACTATAGTGGTCTTTTAAGACCCATTATTCATTCACATGCACCAACTGGATTTAGACTTTTAAAATGTTGTTGTCTATTTCTAGAGCCGCATTGAATGGGGTCTCTGAGACAAAGTAACAGTTCTTAGTGCTCAGGTCTTGATAGACCGGGAACTAGATTTTAAAAAAGCAAACAAATTAAGCAAAGAAAAGTGGAGGTGTTACCAGCAGGAACCAGATTCATCCCTACTGCCATATTTTTCATTTGGGCTAGAAATTCTTAGTGACTATCTGACATTATTGCTGCATGAGTAATGTTCCAAGCCTATGCTTCTTATGGTTAGCAGCTGACTCCTTGGCCTTGGTGGTATTGTGCGAGTACTCCTCCCCATTGTAATGACTTAGCCTATTCTTTTCATGGAGATGTGGGGCCCAGGGTGGCAGCTGCATTCTGATTGTCACCAGGGTGGAAGGATGAACATCATTTACATTTAAACAAATGCAAATGTTTGCTGCTATGGGTCAGATAATTACCTTATCTGGGGGCAGAGGATTAGCTTTTTGATGAAAGCGGGAAAATAGACATGTAGAGAACCAGCGTGTCCATAAGTGTAGCTCAGCAAGGGGTGCAAGACAAATTGTGCTCTACAGGAAATTAACTTTGTATGCAAACAAAAACTGCAAACTGATCAAGCATCAAAGTAGGACTCCAGGGAAACTTGATAGAGGTTGTTTTTTAGGATAGCATAGAGAAGGCCTATCTCTGGTTTTAAATGCTACCCATGTACCCATTGGTACTCAATTCCTAAGTGACAGAATTTCCAACTTTTCTACCTGATTTTAGGTCCATAGGTCCATGGACCTGCCCTTTTTCTACAAATACCCCTTGCGTCACAGAAATACTTACTGGTGCTGGTATGAACTCTGTACAGAACATGCTTGCTGTTGCCTTCTTTCTACTTTTACCCATTCACTGTGCCTGTATTTGAAGCAGAAGCACTATAGAGTCCTACAAATATTGTGAGTTATCTCAGAAACGGTAGCAATTGGACAGATTTTCCAACCTGAAGCACTTTTCTTTTCCACATTTATCTACCAAGACTTTCTGCCTACAGACATGTTTTGTTTTTGGTCTCATCGTAGGGTTTAGGTGCACCAGCAGGCACCACTGAACAAAGTTTGTCAGAGAGAAGTGTTCAGTCCACCAAACAAGGTTAAAAAACATTGTTTGTTTTTGTTTTCCCCCATGATCAGCGCACGCTGATCTACCCCTTTCCACAAACAGTCACACAACCATTCGTGTTTAGGGACCCAGTAGCCTGGACTATTAACTGCCCCATAGACATAAAATCCAGGGCTCTTTAAAGTGACACTAAACTCAGGAGTTAAATCCTGATGCAGCATTTTAAAGATTTAACTCCTTAGTTCAGTTTTACTTTGACCCGATATTGTTTTTTGGTTTTCTTACAGAAATGGTATTGATCTTGTTTTTGAGCATTATTTTAAGATGAAAAAATTACACTTTTGAATTTATAACAACTGCTGAAAGTGGAACTGTTATTAAAATTCACACTTTATAGAAATCAGTGAGGCGTTACCACATCACATTATTATTTTAAATAAAATAGTATGTGTTCCTTGGCATTATTTTAAACAAAAGACTGCTGTTCCTCAGCCTCTCACCTAGGCAAATCCATCGGCCTTTGGCTGCCAATTACTACCATAGAGAGTCTACAATTTTTAGTCAGAAGTGACATAAGTGGTTCAGAAAAGGCTGCTCCAGGACGCGAGTGTACAGTGAGAAGGACAAACTATACATAGAAATAAGGTTTTTAACACACATAAATAAAATATAAACATAAAAATACTGAATTTTCCCTTTTAAAGAATACATTTCCCATAAACATCAGAGTACTTAGATGCACATGTAACATCCAACCAACCTTAGACCACAGAATTGTCTGGTAGACATTACTGGTGTTACTTATTATGTGAGGAGCAATGGGGGTTAGTCCAGGTTTCTAACCTGCTGCTGAGTGTAGTCACTTGGTAGACATTTGGGGGACCTATAGTTGTAAGAGTGATGCTTACAAACAGCTGAATTGAGTGCCTTTCATCTCCTGTCCTTCTATAGCTTAGTGTAGTTTTATAAGATTTTACATTCTTTAAAGGATAAGTGCACTGTAAAACCAAATGCACTTATCTTTTTTTGCCCCCACCCTGATCTAAACAGTACCACCAACACCCTCTGCATATTTGTACTTTCTGAGATCCGTGGTCATGATTTACATCCAGCTCCCCATTGCTCCCTCTACTGGCCGCACCTACACAATACAGCCCCATAGACTGCTATGACAGATGCAGTTAGGAGACTTGCTGAATGTCAACAAACAGCAAAGCAAACCCAGATCTCAGTAAGTACAGATCTGCAGAGGGTTGGGATCGTTTAGGTCTGGGGAGGGGCAAAAAGAATAAAAAGTGTCTAAGACCCCATTCACACTGAGCTACATCAAAAAAAGCTTTTTCTCAGCGCTGATTTGAGCTAAGCGACTTTGAGAGTCATTGAGCAACAGTGCACATATTGTCACGCTACGTATCGCTAATTTTGGCATTGACTGCGTAGATGCTACAATGGGCTGTATCCAATCAAAAGCGGCCTTGATGTGACATAATTCCTCTTCCTGTTTCCTGCTTATGTTCCTGTGCAAAAGTGACACTTCTGTAGCACGACATTGCCGCGCAAAATCGCTGGTAATGTGCGACATTGAGCTACACCATTGAAGTCTATTGGGCCAAATCGCACCAAATCCGCCGAAAAATAGATCATGTTCAAGTGACAAGCTTGAGCTACAAGCTATAGGCCACATTGGGCTGTGAGAGGTGAACAGCTCCATTGAAAAGCTACATTGAGCTTCATGTTCGAAATTGAGCGGAAATTGCGCTACAAAACGCTTAGTGTGAATGGGGTCTGAAGCAAATAGCCATGGCACTTTATGGCCAAGCAAATGCCAGAGCAGATAGCTTTGGCACTTTATGGGGTTTAGCATGGTGCCATAAGTATTCATCTTCACTGCCCCTTTAGATAAATGCTAACCTCTGCTTAGGAATGGCCACAAATCTAATACAGTGAGAAAGCAAGTCAGTGTGGTCCATGGTTTCGGCACTGCCTTCTTTCTGAACTCACTGCATTGGAGCTTGAGAGGGATGTTGCATAGGACAAAATCATGTTGCAATAAGTAGTTTGAGAGGATTGCATAAATCTAGCAGCCTGGTACTATAAAAAAAAAAAAAAACTCGGGGGAAAATAAACTGAGAAGCTTTCTAGTTAGGCCGGCATGCCTTTTTTCTGTTCTTGAAATGAATGACATTTTCTTAAAAGTAATGATTTTCAGTAAGGTTAAACTCTGACAAATTTTCTTGTATTTTCTTGTCTAGATCCACAAAGATCCCTTTCTCAGGAATGCGCTCAGTCGAATGTCGTATGGCAGCTTCTTTCGACTTGCAGAGGTTTTCACAAGCCAGACAGAGGTTGAGACCAGTGAAGTTGGTGCCAGCACGAGCCCTGAACTGACTAAAATTGCCATGACGATGGAACTGACTAGGAAAGTAGCAGGAATCAACAGTCATGCTGTTCACCAACTCATGGGCTACAGTCTTCAGTATATGGACATGTTTGTACCCTGGCTGCAGAAGCAAGGAGGCTGGGTAGGTATTTCTATGTTACATGGTCTATAGTGAATTGGATGCATCTCTGGGCTTGTAAAATCATCCCTGTCTTGCTTGAATGTTTGCAGGTGCTGTAAATGGCCACAGTTTTGTTGTGGTACTAGGCAAGCATTGCTTCATTGCTTTGCATTGAATACAGAGGTTCTCTAGAATGTCAGGAGCTAAATAAGAGAAAAGGGGATAAAATGCCATAGATCAGATCTGTAAAAGTATAGTAGTTTGTGCCAAACGGTATTGCAGTTGGAATAGATCAATGTAATTCTAGTGCGTCTACTCATGTATGTGAGGTTGCAAGATGCCCATCCTGGGATCAAGCAACCTGGCTCTTAAGCTTGTGGAGCATATGTCTGTCTCCATGCAGATAGGGTGGATGATGGCACTCCTGCTCCTCAATGGTCATGCACTGGATGGGAGTTGGATCCCAGTACAAAATAGAGTAGAAAACTTTTCCGCTAAAGAAAACTGGAAGTGAACTCGGTTAGAGCTGCAGCTAACGATTATTTTCAAAATCGATTAGTTAGCCGATTATTGAGTTCGATTAATCGGTTAAAGTAAAATTAAATACATTTTTAAAAATGGCTCCAGTGATGGGACTACTAGTTTGTATTGAGATTGTAGTCCATCACAGGAGCAAGCTTGGAGTGGTGGAAGTAAATAATAATTTTTAAAAAAAATGTGGTGTGCAATATAGTGAAATGAAAAGTGTAAAATTATATAGCAATGAATGCAGAATGGCACCGGCTATAGAGGACTACAAATCCCATCAATAGTACATTATACAGCGAAATGCAGAATACCACCAGCTATATAGGAATACAACAAATGCCAGCAATACATTATAGCTGGCGGTATTATGCATTGCGCTGTATAATGTACTATTGCTGGGTTTTGTAGTCCTCTATAGCTAGTGGTATTCGGCATTGCACCACTGTATAATGTACTATTGGTGGGATTTGTTGTACTCCTATAGCTGGTGGTATTCCGCATTGCACTGTATAATGTACTATTGCTAGGATTTGTAGTCCCCTATACAGCGCAATGCAGAATACCACCAGCTATAGAGGGATACAACAAATCTCAGCAATAGTACATTATACATACAGTGTATAATGTACTATTGCTGGGATTTGTAGTTCTCTGTATAATATACAGCACAATGCACCATCAGCTATGGAGGAATACAAATCCCAGCATACATTATACAATAATACATTATATATGGAATACATTATAGAGCACCATGTGGGGGGGAGTGCAGGCTTACCTAAGCAGTCTTCCAGCAACTTGCTTCTGAGATCGGGCCTGTCTATTGGCGATTGTCATCCCCCCACCCCTGCTCCTCCTTACTTCTTCTCCCTGCGTCCCTGTGCCGATCGTGGATGTGGGAGGGCGGTGAGCGTGAGGCGGGGAGGAGGTGGGGCGTGTGGATGCGGGAGGGCCTGGCAGCGGCGAGCGTGAGGTGGGGAGGGGATACAGCGCGCAACGTGTGTGGAGCCGTGAACAGGGCCAACTAACCAGAAGCCGATTAATCGATGATTGAACAAGTTGACAACTTTTTCAATCATCGATTATAATCGATTATGTCGATTAGTTGTTGCAGCCCTAAACTCGGTAGAGGGGCCTGTTTTGAAAGGCGATGCTTAGAAGTTTTGCCTTCAAAAGGTAGGTTTTTATTTGTCATACAGCAAACAAATACGCCATCAACATATATACCATCTAAAATAAACATTATATAGCATACAATTAATAATAATCACTGTTTGAGATTTGAGATAAGTTAGGTAAAATAATGTTTCAATATTTTTTGAAACCCAAAAAGATAAATAATATTATGTAAAACAAGATTTTGTGAAAAAATAGGCTCATGTTGATTGCATCTTTAAAGGAAAACTATGGGGTAAGTGTTTTTTACCCCATAGTTAGCCTAAGGGTCACATGAGGACATATACTAGCGTCCTCCCGTGACCCAAAGCTCTGTATATCGCGAGCTACAGCTCGCGGTATACTGAGACCGCCAAAACCAGGGACTCACCTCATAGTTCTCCTTTAAGTATGTAATATATGGAATATATTAAAAAAATATAAAAAGAATAAAAAAAATATGAAAATAATTTTAATGTGTACAATGATTATATGGTTAGATTTATTTTTTCTAGGTATAAACACATTATAATTTTTTTTAAAGTATGTTAAGATTGAATGTGAAAATATACAGTATACTGTGTGATGAATTGATAGTTTATTGAAAAAGTTGACAACTTTTTCAATAATCGATTATAATCGATTATGTCGATTAGTTGTTGCAGCCCTAGACATAAGTTTGAATACAAAATGCCAGAAAATGTAGTGAAATGCACGCCATCTGCCTAAAAATAGCACACGCACGGCAAAGAAGCACATGCACATCCGGCAGCTTGAATAAAACTCCTCATACAGACTTTTACAGATTATACCAACCAAGTCTCTTCCTTTTGATTTATTGAGTAATAATGTTTACTCCTTCGTTGACTTGCTGACAAGTAGCTTGCATTGTTCCTCACTTCCAACCCTTGGATACTCAAATGAATTTGAAAAAAATATATCAATTTCTAAATAAAAAAAAGTATTCTTTTTTTTTTTTTTAACTTGTCACTATCAATTCATCCCACTGCATATATTTTCACATTCAATCTTAACATACCTAAAAAAGAAAAAAAGAAAATCATGAATTTATACTTAGAAAAGTGAATCATGAGTTTTAATCATATAATCACTGTACTAATTTGAAGTATTTCCATAGTGACTTTTTTTTATATAATCTCTATATTTATATATTACATACTTAAAGTGGAACCAAATGTACCTTCCCATTGCTCTAATGCCAGCACTGACAACTTCACCCGGCCTTCTTCTTTTTTCGGGATCTTCAGCCACCTTGATTGGTTGGGCTGGAATGGCGTTACTGATGCACACGGGAGCTCATTTATTTAGGCACCAAAGTGGATCTCTGGGCAAAATCAAAATGATGCAATCTGTCACTAACACATCAGTCTTTGATTTTCAGGAGTCCCCTCTCTAACATAGTTGATCATTCAAGTAGAGCTATTATTTTTCCACTAAAATCATGCAGTAAATGGGAGGGAAAATCCAAAATGTTGAGTTGTCCTTAGAACAGAAATAGAGGTGAAGTCTTCAGGCGGGGGCACTTGCAGCAGTCACAACTGTCTGAGAGGATGTTCCTCACTTTAGAGCGATTTCCTATCACTTACTGTTGAGTCTACAGGACATACAGTGGAGGAAAATCTCCCCAAAGTATCACAGACAGCAAAAAAAAGCAGCTTTTAACCCTTCTCTACTGTAACCAAAACTTTAAAAGTTTTGGCTTGAGGTATACTGTACTTTGAATCAGAACTTCAGGCAAGAATCATAATCACCAGATGCCACCATACTGTTAGATCTGCAAGCACCATGTATGTGCACAGCTCTACACCCTTTCATGCCAAGAAATCATGATAATGGTAATAATCATGCATCCAATTGGTGTGTATAGCATAAAATGTCTGATTCCTTAATCATAGTTTATTACCTGTCCTCTTAATTGGACAATTAAAGAGCAGCAGTAGAGTGAGTCAAGAAATGCCCACCTCTCTGGACACTTAGAAATCACTTGGAACTCACAAGAGAGTGTGGAAGAAACTAGAAAGAAAAGGAAGAGTAAAAGAAAGAGGTAAAGGAAGAAGAGAAAGTAAAGATTAGTCTGGGGGACACCCAAGAGGCCAAGGGACACCCCAATAAATGGAGTGACCTCATACGAGCCAACCTCAACGTAACGTCAAAGTGAGAACTTACATGCGATCCCGAACGAGAAGTCAAGCAGACTAGGTAGCTGAAAATCGTGGATACCCGTCATAAAGTTGGGTCATTAGTTCTTCCATGTGCGTCTATCTGTTGAGCTCAATTACTCATTTCTGTGTTGTGGGCACAGTGTCTAGGGATGACTGCTCTAGCTGCAATGAGGAAAGCGCACGATAGGTCTTTTCTTAACAGATGAGAGGTGTATTTTAAACATATTTATAGCTGAACTCCAGGTATAATTTATTCTGCATACTTCCAAACTTGACCCAATGTAAGCATGCATATGTCATACCCGAGTGGCCCACAGAGCATCATGTAAAGCACTGCAGTAGTTGAAGCTAATACAATGCTGACAGTAATCTTCCAGGTCCTGGTACTGTACTGTGCCGAGCAGCTTCTTCTCTGCTCTAAAAATACAAGGGGTTGCTTGCTTGGCAAATCGGCGTTTCAGAGAACAGCTATTTTTATCAACTGACTAATGATTGAACAAGGGGCAGTGATGTCACAATCCAACCCTTATCCAATCAGAGAGCACCTTATATTCTCTGAATTTCCTAAGTGCCAACAGAGCGACTCCTCTGCTGTAGTTTAGTGATTGGGTCCCCAACCCCATGAATGATCCAATTGGGGATAATGATGGTGCATCATGTGGCTATATTGATGAGCCATTTCATCATGATGTAAATGCCCTTACTTGGCTTTGGTATGAGGCTGCTCCATCAATATAATAGATATTAATTCATAACTGGAGGTGTGTAAGGATGGGAAGAAAACAGGAGGGAAGGAGAAGGTGCTGCAACGTTTGCAATGCAGAAATGAACTGGTAAGTGATCCTATTACCAGTTAATTAAAGAGGACCTTGTACTTTGTGCAAGGTCCACTTATTTAGTAATGACCCTCTCCCCTCATCTTAAGCTGCTTCAAAAAAGAAGAAAAACACCTGTGGGGGGGAAAATGAGGTAATAGGGAATAAATAGTATCCAACATCTCACAGGGTCACACTACAGCACAGTGCAGTAGCATCTTTGTGTGAGACTTGGGCTACTTAGTATCAACCAGGATCTCGCCAGAAGGATGGTGCTGTCACCCTCACATAGGCAAGGTAAGTATATCACCTACATTTTTCCCCCATACATGTTTCTCTTCTTTTTTTTTTCTGCAGCACTTTGAGACAAGAGAAGGGCTGTCACTAAGTTGATCAGTTTGGCCTGCGTAGCCACCAGTTACCCAGGTTCCCTGTTAATCTGTGTTTGGGCAAACCTATTTACCAATCACTATTCTTTCGTATGTGCTTGCCCCAATTAAACATATTTTTTTTTTTCTTTTCTCTTACAGGAAAATATTGTGTCTCATGAAGATATATCGGACTTTCAGATTGATTAGTGAAAAAATGTAATACCTACACAGTTGCAGACTGTGTAGTGGGACGTGAAGGAAATCCCTTTCATCATGTTTGGCTTTGGACCGTACCAAAGAAAAGACTTGACCTGTTTTACTACACTTGGCAAGGTGCTGACAAGACATGTGCTTGAAACCCTATAGATGGTTTGTTAAGCAAATCTATTTAGCTAAGCGGCTGTGAATAAGACATGTCTGAAAACTCTTCTGAATCCTCAGGAAGCAAATCTGCCAAACTATGAACCTTTTAAAGATTTGATATCAAAGACTTTTATGAAATGTTGGCATCTGCTGGCATATGCCAATTCTTATTTTTTACCAAAAATCCAAATCCTCCAAGTGAGGCAGGTGGAATGCTTATTTTTGTACACCACTGTTGACATGGTTTTGCGGGTATTAAAATTGTAAAGACCTATTTCTTTGAGCCATCAAAAGCTGGTGTTTCAGTTTCTGGTTGAACTGGTGAGTTTAGTCACTTACAACTTTATTATACTTTGAGGGGACACTAATGGTAAGCTGACTGCTCCAGAGTTCCCGGTTCTATGCACTTCATGCAGTTGTCGTTCTCCTTGTTGGACTTTTTCATTTATTCTACGGCATAACAGTAGGAGCACTTGGCCTCTTTCTGCTCTAATATGAAGAATAGGCTTCGTAGCTCACCAACATCCACTAAAGAATTAAATATCTGTTTTGACTGAATGGACCCTCTATCCGAATGGTGCAAATGACAACTGAATAAGAAGTATAGAAAACACTGTACAGATAATGTTTTGCACTCCAGTCATTGATTTCTTGTGTTTACTCGATTTCTATTTAATTGAAATCTCAACAAAAGTATGTAATTGTAATTCAGGGTCATTAACATGTGAAACAGCACTGTAACCAAAAACAACCTCATGTCAAAAGTAACCATATTTTTGCCTTAAATGTAAACTGTATTGCAAGATATATGGAGGCTGCCATTGCTTACTTCTGAAAATGCTGGCTTTCCTGATATGCATTTCCTGGCCAGCGAATCAAAAAGTATTGAACCCAATAGATTATCATGTCAGCCAGGCTGCTTTTATTTTCAGGAGTTGATTATAGCAGCGGCAGCCTAGGTATTGATTCAGTACAGTTTTCCCTCTTATAATGGTATACATTTAATTGTGAGACATGTAAAGTGTGAAAATGTAGCAGGGAAAACTATGCCTTCTGGGTATTACACAAGGCTACCATGATATGTAAACTTCTGATTTTGCATGTACACCCCAGATCATACTGAAATACATTATTCATTTACTCCACTCTCACTGCAGCCCACAGGAAGCATTGTGTGTGGAGAGGTGGGATCTGGAGGATGCTGCACAGGATACATAGCAAGAGGCTGTAGTTCTTTCTAGAGACATTGCAAAGTCCTGTTTAATGTGCCTTATGGGATTTATTTTTTATCAAATTCATTATAAGGAAAACGTTGTGGAACTTTGACATTTGCACTTCTTCTGGATTTAAGTCATTAAATAATTTGTGTTTATTGTCTGCATTGTTCCTTCAAAGAAACTCAGTTTTTTTTTGTTTTTTTAAAAGAGAACTATGGGGAGAGTGGAATGCACTCATCTCCATAGTTAGAGCCGATGTGTGACACTGCAGCTGTCACAGGTCAACGTCAGCTCTAAAGTTCAAGAACTGAGTGATCACAAACCGCTGAGCATTACATTAATAATCTTCTCCCTGCAGAGAGCGGTGACTGTCACTCTCTGCTCCCCACAGGGATTCCCCCCCTCCCCTCTCCGTTCCTCCAGCGCTGACTACAAGTGCTTGTAGTTGAAAGGGGAAACTCCCTCTAAACTGAAAAATGTAGCCAGGTTGTGGATATTCAAGTATTTACAAATTCTTAACAAGCATCGTATTAGCTTTAAAATGAGCACTTACTGAACCTATGTAGCTGCAGTCATTGTGGTGCAATTCAACTTCACTGTTCACACCAGAAATTAGAAGGCTGGAAGGCTGCAAAGCCACTGCTGGAAGGGGAGAGCAGAGGGAAGCTAAGCTGGCTTAGACAAGTATTTCTTTGCTTCTGCTGTAAACGTTGATGATGAACTGTTTCACAGAGCCCAAAACTACAGAGGTCAGCAATGACTTGTTTGAACCCTTGTAGTGCCCCCACTGCAAGGACTTTGGTGAGGCAGTAAGGGGATGTAAACAAGTTCAATAACATTGTTTACATTTTTCAACAGGCTCTGTATGAAGGTGGCCATACACCTTACAACCATAGCATGACTTTCGTTGTGCGATGGTTGTAAGGTGATTAAAATTTCGTACGACCTGCCCATCTTGGACAGGCAGATCGTACTTGCGATCATCGCATGTCCTCCCCGCTGAGGGGAGGGCTTACAGATGATTGCAATGGTGAGCGGTCCAGTCATATGTCCCTAGCTGCAAGTAACCGCTGAATGTGTGGATACATGCAAATAGTGGAAGACAGCTGTGGCTCCTGCAGCTATCCAGAGCCATCTGTGATTCCAACCACCAGAATCTGCTGCTGTCTGTAAAAGACTGTGAATGAGGCCTAACACACCAGGATATGCATAATTATTTCCAAAAAAGTGACGGTTCTCTTTAGCGGAGTCCAATGAGATTTGAAAATGACAATCACATGGCTAAAAAAAAGATTCTTATCCCGGTGTTAAAAGCTTTGTGAATTGTGCCTTTTAGTATGTTTCTTGGGTGTTAAAGGACAGCTCCCATCAGAAGGTATTTTCATAGGTGTTTTTTTTTTTTTCAGTCTTGCATATTGAAAGTGTATAGGCCTATCCATAAAACTTGGTGTAAAGAAATGTGAGTTCATGTATGATCCACACCAAAAAAATCTAGTGGTTTTTCTTTTGCAGGTAAGAAAAATCAAGTGATTGGTTGCTACAGGAGGCCCCACAAAGTTATACTATGTTGTAGTTTTTTGACTATTTTCTGTGTTTCATATAATTGGAATCTATCAGCAGATAAATCTAGGATCTGCCATTGCCGGCTTGTACTTAATGAAAACTCCAGGGCTTGCTGTCCTTATCCTTACATCGCTATTTATTGAGCCTGTGGCCTGGACCTGGAGTGAATCCAGTGGACTTTGGACTTCTGTATCTCTATACTACTTCCAAGTCAGCCATAGTGAAGGAAAGATGAGGATGACAGTCCTTGGAGCTTGTGATATTAACAATGCAGATCACCTCTCACATCCTCTATTAGCCCTCACATGGTGCAGATCACAAGCCCATCTTTGCTTCTCTCAAACAAATGTAATGGCACACCGCTGTTCTTCCCTGACAACACTTTATTCCACCTTCTTATCCAGTATACAATATCATAGCTTCTCCACATCATAATAAGGTGGAATATACTGGATAAGAAGATGGAATAAAGTGTTTTCAGTGAAGAACAGCGGTGTGCCATGATATTTGTTTGAGATACATGAGTGAAGAACAGCAGTGTGCCATCATATTTGTTTAGGTCCTCAGAGCTTGCTACAAAAACAAGTATGTAATGGTTGCTACCATATTTCTAAGCTGAGAGATTTCCCTTACGTTAAAAAAATTTGGTGGTTGATATTTTTAATGTTGGTGGTTTTATTTAAAAGGGAAAAAATACCAAAGTTTTTTTAACACTTCTATTTTGTAAAAAAACAACAAAACAAACTAACTTTGAATACATTGTTGTGTTTATGACAAGCAATAAAAAACTGTAAGTGAGCATTTGGAAATATTTGTCACTTTGTTTAAAGCTGAATTCCCGCGAAAAATAACAAGATACAAAATGAATAGCCTATTAAAAGATGAATTAACAAAACCTGCTTTTGCTCCGGTATTCACCATCAATTCCTCCGCAGTACTTTATTTCTGCAGCTAGATGTGCTCAGTCTGAAGTCATTCTTTACCCCCTTCTTCTGAGCCCAGATCACCCTGGACACAGCCTGTGACTGGACAGTAAAAGGAGAGCCAGCCTGTGACTGGACAGTAAAAGGAGAGGCAGCACAGTTATAAGCTCATCTCTCTATCACTCTGCTTTCCCTTCCTATCAGCACTTGAAATGATTGGCTCCTTGCACTACTCGCACTCCAGCCCTGATGTTCAGGGATTGCAAGTATAAATCCTATTCCATATTAATTGAGGCATTTTGGTGCACAAACCTTTTACCATTTGTCATTTCTCCCCCCGCCATTACTTCCATGACTATTCCCTACCTTCAAAGGACTCTCTTCCAGCCCTGGCCCATAATCCTCACCAGTCACCTTTCCCCAACCCATAATCCTCACCAGCCACCCTACTCCCACCCTCTCCCGTACTCTCGTGACCCTCACCAGTGATCCCCCTTCATCCACACTATAGTCCTCAGGAGTCACCCCCATACTCTCATGACCCCACCAGTTAACCCACTTCATCCACCCCATACTACTCACCCCCCATTCTCCCATGTACCCTCACCCTGCTTCCATGGCCCTCACCAGTCAAGAAAGAGTCATGATTGCCCAGGACAAATTACCAGCTGGTAATGGTACTTTTTACAAGCACATACTCTCTCTGTTATTTTATTTATTATTGTTGTTGTTATTATTATTACAGTTTGTTTTTTTAATTAGTGCCATTCATTTACACAGTGCTTTACATTGTTGCACATTCACAGTACAGTTGACACCCTCAAGGAGCTTACAATCTAAGATCCCTGTTTTACATATACTAGGGCAATTTAGAAAGAAGCCAATTAACCCAAGCACATACGTTATCTGGAGTGTAGAAGGAAACCGGAGGAAACCCACACAAGCACAGGGAAAACATGCAAACTCCATGCAGATAGTGTTCTGTTGGGGACCCTAGTGCTGCAAGGCAGATGTACTAACCACTTTGCCACTGTAGTGGCCAGGTGGGAACTCTGGTCAGAACTAATAGGCCTCTTTAACATTAGAAATGTCCGGCTCCGTGCTGCTCCCGGAAAGGACAGGTGCTGCCTGTGATTAGTAC